AGTCGTGTGTGAGATAACAACTCGTGCTCTGATACCACCTGTCACGCCCTAAACTCGCCCCTAGAAGTTTGGGCATGACCACTTCAGTAACGGACACTTAACCTGTTATATATAACATATGGGGCCTTAACGGAAGCACAAAAAATAATAGATAAATAATAATGAACAATTAAACTCCATTGAGCTACTCCTACATGCCAGGATCTCATTCATCACATGCATTATATCAGATAAATAAAGTTCCAAACTATATCCCAGAGTGTGTACATGCATATTTACAGGTCCAGCCCTAAAGTCGGGCGTATACAAAAAAACAAACATGAAAGATATATACAACAACCTTGGATGGACACTCATAAGCAAACCAACATCTTGACAGCTTAAGAAATTAAATGACTTAAACAGTGCCTGAACATATGAAGGTGGACTAGAGGAAGCGGCGTCTTGGCTAGGACTGACCGCCTGATTGGTGACCTACAGAAACAGACATAACAGAGGGTGAGCGGGGCTCAGTGAATAGTAATACATAAATAAAATGATGCATAACTTGAACCATAATACATATCAACGCATATATAGAAATGCAAAGTTTACATAATTAGTCTGATTCTGTGCTAATTTCATAACGGCCTTAGGCTCAGTCTTAAAACATAATAGCTTGAATCATAACGGCTTTAAGCCCTTGAATATCATAGCATTAAACTTTTAAACATGTTGGCATATAGCCCTTGAAACATATGGCATAAAGCCCTTGAACGTGTGGCATAAAGCCCTTGAACGTGTGGCATAAAGCCCTTGTAGCTTGTAATGGCATAAAAGCCTCATAACTTGTAATGGCATAAAGCCCTTGTAACTTGTAATGGCATAAAAGCCTCATAACTTGTAATGGCATAAAGCCCTTGAAAATGGCATAAAGCATACTTAAACTTGTAACATATTTAAAATATACCTGAAACATACTTGAGCTCGTAACTTACTTGAAGCATACCTGAAACATACTTGAACTTGTAATATACTGGGAACCATACTTGAAACATGTTTGAAATATACTTGAAACCATACTTGAACTTGCAACATGCGTAACTTAGAACATGCATGAACTTGTATCATACATAAACTTGTAACATATTTAAGCTTGTATCGTACTTAAACTTGTAACATACTTGAATTTCTAACATACGTGAACTTGTAACATACATGGACTTGTAGCATACGTAAAACTCGTAACATACTTTAACTTGTATATACTTGAACTTGCAAATTTACTTAAACTTGTATATACTTGAATTTGCCACACAATTAAACTTGTAACGCTCTTGAGCTTACAACATACTTGACTTATAACATATGCAAACTTATAACAGACTTAACTTATAAACTTGTAACACAATAAAATAACTTCCAATTCACATGGAGTCACATAACTTTCCAATTTTTATAGTATTCGTAGAACACTTACAAAGAATAGAGCATTAGTGACAGCAATTATCAACAATAAATAACATGTACATTTTTGTACTACTACTCACAATGTTCAGGTGCGTAGTTCGTCCTTGTAGTTAATCCTACACAAGTCACGTAATTCAAACATAATTCATCATAGTACAACATCATTTAGTTCATTAATACTATTGGCAATTCAACATAATACAAAATAAACCCTTGAATCTCATTTTAACATTCCAAAAATCGACTTCATGTCATCCATATCCTTACTAAATTATTCTCCTAATTTTTCCTTTCCATGATAGCATGAATTCCAACATTTATAACAAGGTTCATTCGCAAATTGTAAACATAATTTCCAAATATTCCCAAATTCCAATTAAACTTGAACACATCTAATTCAATATCTCAATTTCATTACTCTACTTTCAATTTAGGCCAATTCATTGGTTATCATCTTTAAACAACCTAGGGTTTCAAGGAAAAAGAGGATTTTTAACAAAAATCAAACTTCTTAAATCATCACTCCTAATTCCAATTTTCCAAATGATTTTACATCTAGTATTCTCAGTCCATCACTTAAACCCATCAATTTAATTCCCAACATCACAAACCTTAAAACCCCCAATGTTCAAACCCAAAATTCCCAAAATCTCTTAATTTCTTCTATATACATAACATTAATGAAAATTGAACCATTATACAATGAAAATACCTCAAATCTATCTATGGATGTAAATATTGAAGAGTATTAAAACCCTTACCTCAAGAATCAAACAAAGGAGCAAGGATTGAGAAGAATCCTCCAAAATCTCGAAATTCCAACCGGTAGAACATAATAATCTTCATGCTTCTTCACTTTTTGATGGATGATCTTGATCAAAACTAAGAGAAATGGAAGGTTTTGGAGATTAAGGACCTAGGGTTTTCGGACCTAGGGGAGAGGGATGAAGAGGGGAAAAGGAAAATGTAAGAAATGATCCAAAAAATCTCATTTTAAGCTGCTGTCCCGTAATTCCCGCTCGAGCGCACATCTTCACGCTCGAGCGTACATGCATTCAGCACAGATGTCAAAACTTCAAATAGGCATAACTCTCCCATCCGGACTCCGTTTTAGGTCGTTCTTGTGTCCAAATTGAAGCCCCGGAAATAAGCTTTCAAATGGTTCTAACCCCACATCCAAATTCAAAATGTAGAAAAAGAAAATGACAAAAGAGTGACGGCTGGTCGCAGACAATTTATTCTAATTAAAGCTTTTGGAAAGCCCTTGAACGTGTGGCATAAAGCCCTTGAACATGTGGCACAAAGCCCTTGTAACTTGTAATGGCATAAAAGCCTCATAACTTGTAATGGCATAAAGCCCTTGTAACTTGTAATGGCATAAAAAACTCAACTTGGAGACCCGCTCGAGCGCCCAACCTTGCGCTCGAGCGCGAAGACCAACAAAGACGTCCGCTCGAGCGTCAACTACCCCGCTCGAGCGGAAAATCACAACTCCCAGAATCTCAGGCCGTCTGTACAATTTGCTGGAAACCCCAAAAGTACGCTCTAGCGCCTACTGCTCCGCTCGAGCGGAGGGAAAAAGTTCCAGATTCTTCGGTAAAGGTCACAAATTCCAGTTTCAAAGGCATAACCCAACGGATCGTTCTTCAATTCCGATAGCAAACACATTAACCCCTAATTAAATAAGGATTACTTCCTATACGCACTTTGGGGTCATTACAGTGCCATCCCCATATAAGGCTGGCTACGGGGGAACTTACGACACTGGAGGAGGTGGAGGCGGAACTACATTTCGGCCGTTGGTCTGCTCGGCCTGAGTCGACGTAGCACTAGCGTATTGCTGTCTGGTTTGCCTCAACTCGTGGGCCAAACCTTCAACTAATCTTTCCAGTCTGTCCATTCTGTCTTTGGGCTGATCCCAGCCAATTGGAGGTCTACCTCTCCTCATGGTACTATGAGCATGCAAAATGTGACTTTAAAACTAATAAGCAAATAACCACATAGACAAGTAACAAATAGGTATGTCAAGACAATGCACACTTCTTCCAAATAGCAATGTAACAACCCTCACCTTACTCTTGCCATATTTGCGTACATTCTTGCATGGTTTAGCTTGTTATGGTTTTGTCTTGCCTTGATTTGCTTAAGTTGCTTGCATGATTTTGTTCCTTGCTTAGTGCGTGTGCGTAGCCGAGATCATCTTGAGCTTAGTCCGCCTTTGACCCTTTGTACTTAGAACTATCTTGAGGTCTTGTTCAACCCCATCTTCACCTCGGGCATTCTTTGCCGAGATGTTTCGCACTTGAACCTTGTCCGCAGGCAGGTATGGCCTAGGCCGAGATGTGGCGCACCCCGGCCAAGGTGTGGCACAGCTTAGTCAAGCGTCGTCCTCCCTAGCCGATGTTTTTCCATCCCGTTGTTGGATCCTTGTTTTGAGCCGATGTCATCCCTCTGCCGATGTGTCTTACCCGAGCTTGCCG